GTAAACTTTTGTAAATTGAAAAATATACCGATCCAGGGAGCTCCTGGCACCCCAGGTGAGGTATTAACCGAGGGCTTCTGAGGAAAATTCGTTATATGTTATTGGAAATAAATGTATTAAAAAAGAAAAAAGAAAAAAAAGACCTTTCTTTGGGTACCACCAAATTTGACCTTTTGACCTTAACCTTGGAGTTTGACCCACTTTTACACAAAAATTCCAAACTTTTACTTTGGCCATAACTTTTGAATGGTAGATACTAGGGCTTTCATATTTCACATACGAGGGGTGATCAAAAAGTTCGAGAACTATCTCTATATCTACAAAACCACAATTCAGATTAGAAAAAAAAATTTGGTACACACATAGTCATACACAAGCTCCATAATTAGCATATGCCGAATAAAGTGTTGCTCCTTGTTTGTGACGTCACAATTTGAAAATGACGTCAATATGTAGATCACTTGCGACAAAAAATGGTTGTCTCAGTCGTACTCCATTCTCCAGAGTTGTCGTTCCCGCTTCCTCTGCCAACGCTTGTTATACAAGATTCTTGGAAAAATTGTTTTTGATTAAAAGTTGTATTAATAATAGTGTTTAATTATATTTCTTATCGGAAAACATTTTTTCTTTTCATTTATTACACCTTAAAAGGATTTTTTAATTAAGATTTTAATTTTTACTCCGCAAAATAGTTCCCTAAAATCTTTGAAAAAAAGTCGTTCTGCGTGATTATAGATTTTAAATAAATGATGAATTATCATCTTTATCAATATGTACAATAATTAATTATCATTTAAAATTCGAATCTTCGCTGTAAAAAATTTGTACAAGAATCTTGTACAACGAGCGTTGACAGAGGTGTTGTGAGCGTAGCGAAAGATAACTCTGGATAGAGAATGAGTCGTACTCGTTTAACGAACGACTGTAAAATTTATGGTATATCTTAGAAATTCCTTTGCAGTAGCGTGTAATAATTTGTACACAGTTTATTAAGAAACAAGACTTCTTATAAATTCAATCAATCATTAAATTGATCGTTTTAGTTAAGGAAGGCAGATGGTTAAAAATGATATTTGTTATGTTGCCCAGTGAAAGCAAGTTTGAAAAGACGTGTTTTTAATTAAGAAATTTGCTATCAAAGACCTCCAATATGCACTTTGAAAAATAATTGAATATCTTAACAATAATATAAGTAATACCTAAGATATCGATTACTTTAGATTTTAAACATGGTAGATATGATAAAAAGGAGGCACCCATGCTCTATCCACCGTGAATAAACGTCTCTTCCGAGACAGAAGATTTCATAATTTGGGCTAATGATGGTCGCCATGCTTATTTTTGGAAAGGATAAGCTTATCCACCCATTCTGTTGCCGAGATTTGACCATTTCTGACTAATGAACTGTTCTTGTTATAAAAATTAACTTACATGGAAAGAATTATAAAACTCAGAAAAATCTTTCAGTTTTTGGGACAGAACGCTACGGAGGGGGGTCACATGACCGCCTATATCACGTGATTCGCGCATGAGCAGAACGGTGGCAGATGTGCATTAAAATCGGAGAGGACTAATCTAAAATATTATCAACACTAAAACCAAATATTGTTTTCTTTTATGGAAGTTATTCAATTAGTTCGCGAACTTTTTGATCACCCCTCATATGTATTCTTTGTGGCAAGACCTTTTATTGGACAACAACAACTTTGACTTTGGAGATTTCCGTACTTATGAAAAAACTTTAACCTTGGCCATAACTTTTGAATGGTAAGGGCTAGGGCTTTCATACTTCACATATGTAATCAAAATGTTTCCAAGCATGCTATGATTTTGACCTATTGACCTTCACCTTCAGGATTGATTTTTAAATTTCTAAATGACGTATGATAGGGCGTTCACATTTGAGACAATATGCCATAAAAAAAAATTACATCTCACCCACAGAGACACTGAAAGCGGGGGACCACAATTCTTTGTCTAATATGAACACCCTATCATATGTCATTTATTTAGAAATTGTCATTGAAGTTGATTTTATTAAAAATAAGGTCAATCATGAAGGTCAAGGTCAAGGGGTAGGAAATCATAGCATGCTCGGAATTATCTTGTCATAGGTAATGCACATGTCATATATGAAAGCCCTATCTCTTCTCAATAAAAGGAACAAGATTTTTTTGTGAAACACTGATGACCCCGAATGGCAACATAACGAAGATTAAAATTTTCTTAAATGCAAATTAAATATATTATTACACAAAGTAGGGTTTTTCTCACAAGAAATACGATTGTGAAATACAAAATCCACCTGTTCAAAAGTTATAGTCGAGGATAAATTTTTGAAAAGTAGGTCAAACTCCAAGGTGAAAGGGTCTGAGTTGTTGGTTTCATAAGAAAGGTCTTGTCACGAGTAATACATACGTGAAATATGAAAGTCCTAGTATCTACCGTTCAAAAGTTTACTGTTATGGCCAAGATTAACTTTTTACAAGTAGGTCAACTCCAAAGTCAAGGTCAAAGGGTAAAAGTTCTTGGTATCCAATGAAAGGTCTTCTCACAAGGATTACATATGTGAAGTATAAAAGCCCTAGCCCTTATCATTCAAAAGTTATGGTCAAGGTTAAAGTTTTTTCATAAGTGCAGAAATCTCCAAGGTCAAGGTCAAAGTTGTTGGTATATAATGAAAGGTCTTGCCACAAAGAACACATATGTGAAATATGTCTTAGTATCTACCGTTCAAAAGTTGTGACCAATGTTAAAGTTTTTAAAAAGTAGTTAAAACTCCAAGGTCATAGGGTCAAAGTTCTTGGTATCCAATGAAAGGTCTTCTCACAAGGATTACATATGTGAAGTATAAAAGCCCTAGCCCTTACTGTTCAAAAGTTATGGTCAAGGTTAAAGTGTTTTCATACGTACGTTTATCTCCAAGGTCAAAGTTGTTGGTATTTAATGAAAGGTCTTGCCACAAAGAACACATATGTGAAATATGAAATCCTAGTATCTACCGTTCAAAAGTTGTGACCAATGTTAAAGTTTTTTAAAAGTAGTTATAACTCCAAGGTCAAAGGGTCAAAGTTCTTGGTATCCAATGAAAGGTCTTCTCACAAGGATTACATATGTGAAGTACGAAAGCCCTAGCCCTCACCGTTCAAAGGTTATGGTAAAGGTTAAAGTGTTTTCATACGTACGTAAATCGCCAAGGTCAAAAGGTCAAAGTTGTTGATATCCAATGAAAGGTCTTGCCACAAAGAATACATATTTGAAATATGAAAGCCTTAGTACCAACCATTCAAAAGTAATGGCCAAAGTAAAAGTTTGGAATGTTTGTGTAACAGTGGGTCAAACTCCAAGGTCAAGGTCAAAAGGTCAAATTTGGTGGTACCCAAAGAAAGGTCTTGTCACAAGGAATACATAGGTGAAATATGAAAGCCATAGCTCCACTAAATCAAAAGTTGTGGGCAAGGTTAAAGATTTTGTGACAGACGGACAGACGAATGAGATTTAATGTCCCCTCGCTTTCGCGAAAGCAGGGGACAATAATAGTTCTTCATCATAAAACTGTGCGCTTTAAATGAAATTTTATATTTTTTCCTTTTCTTTGCATAAAATAACTTTTCATCCTCCTTTCTTGGAAAAGGAAATGTTATGATAGCACTACAAACGCTACTTAATTCTTATTCAAAAGGCTATATTTTCCTTGTCTTATACATATCAAATAACTTTATATCTTCCTTTCTCGGGAAAGAATTTGCATGGTTTTAATTCCGCACATAAAAGTGTCATGAAGTACGTGCGATGTGTAATCATGAATTAACATTTCATCTACATTATGATATAAATTTTGATGAATTTTGAGTAAACAGATTTGGGGGGTACACTATAATAATATTATCTCAAACTTCTAAATTTTGTATATAATTCAGAATTTAGAACATGACTTTTTTTTTTTAATATCACAGTGAATAGGTAAAAGATTGTTGTCTTCCTTCTTAAAGGTCTTTCTATAAGTATATCATAAGTATATAGGTTAAACAAAAACACGAATACTTTTACTTTGTATACATATTTCGAAATGTTGTACGAGATTTCAAAATAGTTTAAATGTATTATAATTACACGCACGAATACCTGTAATTCTCGCTATGAAATGGACTATGCGTCGTCATTATTTGAAGAAAGCTGCTGAAACATGATTTCCAAGTCGTCAACCATTTCGTGGATATATAATTTAATTCTGTTTGTAAATTTCTACGCCATTTTGTATAATCTGTCTTGTTAATTATTGATAATAGATCTAGCATAATAATGATATAACACTTTGAAATTCTTGCAAATAGTGAAGATACTGGATGCGTTATACAATATTAGAGCCGATTAATTAAGTTTACATCGTATTTAGCTATCCTGCAAAATTAAGAAAAATATTTAATACTAGTAGCAGAAGGTTAAGACGCGAGAGGAAGAATTTTTACCGACTAGGTCATGACAACAATATTAGACATTGTACATGTTGTATGCATTGATAATATATCAATATTTTATACGATAAATTGATATAATTTTTTTTTTTTAAGTTATATTTATCTTAGGTCAACAAAGTCAATATCTGATGCAAATTCCTCAGATTTGGTTATACATATAAATGTTTTGCTATAATAATAATATAATGTATAATAATATAATACATTGCTATTAAGATCACTGAAGTAAATAGTCTATTTCAAATCTTTGTATATCAATACAGAAAGAAATCCTTTAATGTTTCTGCCTGGACAAAATATCGACTTAATTGGTATCGACCCTCTTCTGAAGGAATTTTCTGGTATATGAAATTCCTACACAGAATGACGAATTTTTATCTATATATAATATGCATCATATTGATGGGCAATCCATTAGGTATGAGTCTCTCAAATAAGAGTCAATTCTCTATTTTAACCTATGACTGAAAAAACAGACAGGCAAATAATCCCTTCGACGCCCCTTTTTTCTCTGTTTATTTATAGCAACGCATATTCAACCATAAATAGTTACTGGGGAATTTCCACAGCGAAGGTAGATATACTCGGAAATTGCTTATCCGGGTCAGTTTGAGCATTTACAAAATTAATCATGGATGCCGCACTGTGTGGAATGACAGAGGTCCTCGGTAAAGATGGCCCTGTAAAAGTTAGTGACCTTGTGAGTGGGAAAACTTGTGTAGGTAAGAAAATTACAATATAGGAAACAGCTGATTTAAAATGCATGTGTCAGATCCAGCTGCGAATGCACAATATTTTCTCTCTCTCTCTCTCTCTCTCTCTCTCTCTCTCTCTCTCTCTCTCTCTCTCTCTCAGCATTTTAGACCGGTTCATTTGTAATTGTAAGTTATGCATCTTAATCGGCTATTCCTGAGATAATCTTATTTGTCAGAGTGCATGCACACAATTGAGATAAAAGCTGACCATGAACTGTCAGTTTGTTAAATATTTATGTAGAGCACAAACAGGTTTGTTTATATTAGGTGAATACCGATTTTATGACGAGTTAACGGTCACTCAATTGTTAATGATCTTCATTATCATGATTATGCTGTTGCCATAGATGCTGAAATCAATTATAGATGTACGTACAAGATCGATATAGATCGCTTTAACACGGGGCAGGAGGAGTAGTTTAACCTATTCAACTCCGATACGTATGCTTATGATTAAGATTAGATGAACTTTTATAGAGAGGAAATGTTACGAGTCTATACTTAATTTTCTTTATATAACAAGGAAGTCCGCTGATAGCGCACATCCCTTAAAATTCAGACGCAAGCAGACCCAGTTTCATATCCTACTTGTAGTGAGAGAGCTAAAATAGGCTGAGCCTGCTGCCCTATTCACCTTAATTAAACCTGTGAATAAAATGGTATAAAACTAAAAAGATTTCACCCAATAAAACTTACGGAAGAAAAAGAAATTGTGTCATTTGTAAAGATTATGCATGAAAGTTAATTTTAAAAAAAATCATAAAAGCATCGTCATGTTAATGTGAGTGCGGCCATGGGAGATATTGAATATGAAGTTTTTATCCACCCGTAACGGAACTCTGGGGGTGGGGGTGGGGAGGATAGTAACGCCGCGTTTGTTAGAATTTTTTTTTAAAGTGAGCGTTCTGATCCCGAAGTCCATAACCTGTGTCATGTCGGATTGTTTTGAACATAATGGCGATTATGATTACCTGATTCAAGGCCACGTGTGAAAAGGACTTGCAAATACCCGCAGACTTAATCCCTTTTACAAACATATTATACTAAGAGTATGCAACTATACACAGATAAAGGGACCCGAGTACGGCGGCGAGTAGGGAATATTAGTCATTATATAACGTAGTTTTTAAAAGTCACATTAGCTGACAAATCAAGTGAGGTTGGTTATGCCTATTTTGTGTCTGTTGTCTGTCTGTTTGTCTGATGACTTTCTTATTTTCTTATTAAAGCTATAAATAAATAATCAGGAAGTTTGGAGAAAAAGATCTCAATTGATATTTATAGAAATACGTAGGAATGGGTTTATCTCCATTTGAGAGAGAGAAAGAGAGAGATGACCTAATGGCAACTAAGTGTCCTATGAAAGTATTTTAGCTTAAGATAAGGTATTATCAATATGTCATGCTTGTCTAACTTCAGTGCATTGTAAGAGTAATGGCATTTAACATTTTTTTTAATGTTTTGGCGAGATGAACAGGATCAAACTTGCATTCTTTAAGGTATCGATGACAAGATCTAATGTTTCCTTTAATCATGGTTTACTTGAGTTATTTGTTCTAAAAAAATCTTAAAATATGCGCTGGTCATGAGAGTAAAGATAAGTTTTAATTAATCTGCAAGAGTACGTATAGGTACATAAGGCAATGAAAGCATTCCTATGTCTACCCCAAACCCCAAACCATAGTCAAAAAATTTTCACTACGTCAGAACTAACAACACACTAACAACAGAAAATAAATAGACCTATGATCAGCGATGAATTAAATTTTTGTTTTAGCACAATCCTTGAGATACAATATTTCATATAAAAGTCCTTGATTAAAAAAAAACAAAACAGGTTCATGCAATATTTGCCAGATCACGTGATATATTAAAGTGAGTAAAGCATCTTTCATCAATACAAAGTTTAAACATCCATGCAAAGGGAATTGATACAATATGTATGTGTATATAAATACATACATGTATTACATGTATATACAGTATATGTTTATATACAATATGTGTTTATTTCAAGTCTCTATATAATATTGTGTTAATTCCATGTCTCTATACAATATGTACATGTATTGTACTAATTCCAGGCCTGTTTATGGTATTGTGTGTACTCCAGGCCTATATACAAAATGGTGTATTTTCCAGGTCTCTATACGATATTGGGTAAATTCCAGGCCTTTATGCAATATTATGTATATTCTACGTCCCTTTACACTTTTTTATGCCAGGTCACTTTAAAAATATTGTTTATATTAATCCAGGCCTTTATGCAATATTGTTTATCTTCCAGATCTTCATATAATACCGTATTAATTCATAGTCTCTTTACTATATACAGTATTTTCCACCTTTTTATACAGTGTGTATATTTCAGGTCTTTATATGATATGGTGTATATTCCAGGTCCTATACAATAGCGTGTAATTAATATATTCCAGGGCTCTATACACTACTGCTTTATTCCAGGTCTGTATTTCTCCGCCCACTGGTGCCCTCCTTGTCGCGGCTTCACCCCCATTCTGGCCCAGTTCTATAAAGATCTAAAGGCCAATGACCAAAGCATTGAAATCATCTTCGTCAGCTCTGACAGGGACGAGGAGAGCTTCAAAAGCTACTATGATGAGATGCCGTGGCATGCCCTAGCCTTCAGTGAAAGAGATATAAAGGCAAGCATCTATGTAATCAATATGAGGATATAGGTTATGCAAATGTTTCATGGGTTAAAATAGTCAGGCATTTTTCACGGTTTTGATATTTTACGTGCCAGGAAAACGTAGGAACAGGCACCATTACGAAAACTGGGAAATGGCCGCCTCCAACCAAAGGCGGCATTCTCGAGTTCATTTTAGATACTTGCGAACCGAAGTAAATTTCAAAGTCACAAGTTATGAATAGTACAATTAAGTACAATTACCTTAAGTACTTACCAATATCGTTTTTATGGTTCATTTATATAAAATATACAATCCGTTAAAAAGATTTGATCACACTGTCGAGATTTGTCTTCATTTCGTGTATTTTATAATCTTGAAAGTCCTGTAACGAAATGTGGAGTGATATTTTCTTTTCATCGATATCGGTGAGTACTAGAGACATTGCACTTTTCATAAATTCAGATTTGGGCATTTAGTTCGGTTCGCAAGTATTAAAAATGAACTCCAGTTGAAGACGGCGAAATTTCCCAGTTTTCGTATATAATGGCGCCGTTTCTAACGTTTTCACGGCATGTTTTAAAAAGCCTGGAAAACGTCAGATATTTCGGACCAGGGTTAAAATGTAAAAATACAACTGTCAACAAAATTTAAAAGGAAAAGACTAATATGTGAACTCAAATATTACATATTTAAGTTGATATTTATGTATGATGAAATTCAGAGAAAATAACGTACTTCAAAAATTAATGCCTTATCAGCTCTAAATTAAATAATAGCCCACTCGGGTTGATCTTGGTCATCTCGGACGATATGATATAAGATATGAATTTAAGTGCAGGGTATGTAATATTTAAAATATTCTTTATATATAATTTATTAAACCCTATTTGTCTTTTTATTGTAAACAGAATGCTTTGGCACAAAAATACGGTGTACAGGGAATTCCCACACTGATCATCCTGGATAAAGACGGAAACATCAAAGACAAAAACGCCCGGGGGACCGCCCAGAGCGCGCAAGGCAGCAAGGAGCTTCCTGCTGCCTGGAAATAGACAATATATTCAATGTTTTCTTATTGTTTCATTTATAAGATGTTAATTTAAATGAACTTTTTGTATTTGTATTGTTTCATTATATGATATTTTTTATTGTTTCCAGACATACTCAAATGTAATGTTTATGTACGAAATTAACAAAAATGCAGCATTTTTTAATTAATTGTATTGAAATAAAGCATTTTTTAAAATGTGTTATGTAATTTGATTTTTGTATCGCCATCACAGAAGAGCGTCACATAAGAATCACTATATCCACCGTCTGTCTGCCTCGCTGTCTGCCCGTCTGTCTATTCGTGTGTCACACTTTATATCTAGAGAGCAGTATGACTTGTGTAAATCACCATGGTAACCAACCTCGTGACCCTTGACTTAAGCTTTTACCTACTTTTCAAAAAAAAGTTTATAGTGCCGATATACATGTACAACATATTTTTGATATTTTTAATATGTATATGTTTATGTCATGCATAAAACATTGTGAAAAACGCTAGCTGCAGAACTGTAGCGTTATGGTTTTATATACATGTGCTAGTCTTTTACCATAACGCTATAGATCCCGTTATGCAAATAATGTGCAATTTACGGCGCTAGGTTTCCTGCGTAGTGTTTGGGAGAATTTCACCACTTTCCAGCATTAGTCAATCAACTACCTTTTACTTCCTACATCTATACATATTCTTCAATAAATTTGTATATTTTATCCCCCACCAACCCTTCATAGTTTTCCTATATACAAATAAACTCGCTTGTTTTTTTGTTTTTTTTTTTTCAGATGGCAGAAAATTCAAGAAATCTTTTTTATTTGTCTATACACAGTTCAAGTATTCAGTTTTGTGTCCTGACATTATCTGGAATTAATTTTCAAAACATTTTTTTTTATTTAAAAAAGTTAATAAATGAAAAAATGTACAGTGAAACATATGGAGATAACGAGCGGTATTCAAGATCAAAAGTCCATAAAACAATACAAAAATAGGAACAGTAAAACGCCAAAATTGCATTAAAGACTTGGATGTATTTAATTCCTTGAATAGAATTTTCTTAGTAATAGTAAGATCATATGAAGAGAAATCTTCGTCATGAAGAATGGGCGTAGCGAAGCGGAGCCCATTCTTCGTGAAGAAGATTTCTCTTCATATGATCTTACTGACTAAGAACAGAACCTCAGCCAATCAAATGAATGGATTAAAATATAAACTCCTCCCATGACTGTGTCATATATAAGGCTCAACTTGACCGATCGTTGTACATATCGAGGACGCAACCAATATCGAACACACGCGGTTTTAGAATTGACTCCCAACCCATTCAGGTTAGCACGGGATTAAATGAAATAGCTTGATTTTCTGGGGGAAATGGTATGGTGAAAATATTTAAGTTACTGAACTAATGAATACCCATGTAACAAGAATCGAAATATCTATATTTAAAAAAAATGATTGTGTTAAGATGACAAGGCCCTAGTCAGCAGGAGTGTATCGCTGTCTAATATCAAATGAAAATTAGGTAAAAATTGTGATTAAATCTGTCTTCAAAGACAAGGTTCGTCTCTGATATACATGACGATGGTTGTATTTTCTGTATGTACCAAAATGTGAAAAAAAAATGATATTCAAAAAGGCGACAAAAGATTACAGTGGGAAAAAAGTGTAGCAAGGCCTAGAAAGTTTAAATATCATTGTAAACAGCACGTGGGTTTTGAATAGTTTCTTTTTGTGTGCTGAACAAAGACCAATGAAGACACACCCATATAACTGTCAAGTGAACCAATCAGATAACGTTGAATTTTTCAGTAATAGAAGAATTCTTCACCATGAAGAATCAATTCTTCGCGAGAAATGGAAGCATTTGATTGGCTGAATAAGTAGGTTATGTTCTAATCTGGTTTAGAATTACAATCCTTTGTTAGCTTTGTAAGTGGAATAAGTTTCTAGATTCCAAGAATTCTGTTGACGCATAAAAAAAAGACCAATTCTTAGAAAATAACAAAGGAAGAATGATAAACCGATAAATATTTCTAACGTAATTTAGAAAATAACCTACTTATTCAGCCAATCAAATGCTTCCATTTCTCGCGAAGAATTGATTCTTCATGGTGAAGAATTCTTCTATTTCTGAAAAATTCAACGATGTCTGATTGGCTCATTTAACAGTTATTTGGGTGTGTCTTCATTGGTCTTTGTTCAGCACACAAAAAGAAACTATTCAGAACCCACGTGCTGTTTACAATGATATTTAAACTTTCTAGTCCTTGCTACATTTTTTTCCCACTGTAATCTTTTGTCGCCTTTTTGAATATTATTTTTTCCCATTTCGGTACATACAGAAAATACAACAATCGTCATGTATATCAGAGACGAACCTTGTCTTTGAAGAGAGATTTAATCACAATTTCCATCAAAATTTTATTTGATATTAGACAGCAGCGATACCCTCTTCTGCTGACTAGGGCCTTGTCATCTTAACACAATCATTTTTCAAAAATATAGATATTACGATTCTTGTTATATGGGTATTCATTAGTTCAGTTACTTTAATATCTTCACTATACCATTTCCCCAGTAAATCAAGCTATTTCATATAATTAACCCAGTGCTAACCTGAATGGGTTGGGAGTCCATTCTGAAACCGCGTGTGTTCGATATTGATTGCGTGCTCGATGTGTACAACGAGCGGTCAAGTTGAGCCTTATATATGACACAGCCGTGGGAGGAGTTTATTTTTAATCCATTCATTTGATTGGCTGAGGTTCTGTTCTAAGTCAGTAAGATCATGTGAAGAGAAATCTTCGTCATGAAGAATGGGCTCCGCTTCGCTCCGCCCATTCTTCATGACGAAGATTTCTCTTCATATGATCTTACTATTACGTAGGTATTTATATCATTTCTACCCAATTGTATAATACCTGTCAGTACTTCCAAGAACCTTTTGAAAGCAGTGTGAATATAATTAAAACACAAAGCAAGTAAGGTTATGCTTTCTCGGAAAATAAACTATTTCAGCTATTTGAAATAGAAGTAATAATTAATGTTAGGGGCTTGTCGTGATTATTTGATATACTTATTAAATTGAAAAGGAAGTTGATAATACATTTGTCTGCATGGGTTCACAAGTATTCGCCATTTTGATTAAGCTGTCTTTTAAAAGATTTTCCTCGTGCGATTCGAATTTATGGGAGACAAAAATCCTATTTGCAGGTGGTAATGGTATTTTGCTATAGAATTAGGAATTCCAATATGCAGGTGGTAATGGTATTTTGCTGTAGAATTAGGAATAATTGATGACAGAAAAGTTGTAGTCGTCACGTTTAATATTAAGTTAAATAAGAGACCCTCGTTTAAAGTCATCATTTCGTAAGCTCTATGGTCGATACAATGACCTTGTCAGCAAATAAAGTTTATCATTGAGTCAAATGCTGACTGACGTTTTTCATACCAATTGTTAGTCCATTATTTATACACTGAACTGACGACGGATTTTTCCCGTTATTTCCTGATCATGACAAGCAGCACACGGCGGGTGTGACCGGTCAGCAGGGGATGCTCACTCCTCCATGGCACCTGATCCCACCTCTGATGTTTCGGGGGTCCGTGTTTGCTCTGCTCTTATTTTGTATTGTTTTATGGACTTTGAGATTGTATACCGTTCGTTATCTCCATATCCTTCATTCCTCTAATATAATTGGTTTACAACTTTATATATATAAAATGCTAATAACTCTATTGACTACACATACTAGTATTTATTTGCTTTCATTTCAAACGATATACTTTATGGTCAAAACAAATATTTTAAGTCAGTCTAAGCAAATAACGTGTGTATTAATGAGTGAATAAAAAATGAGAAACTTACCTTGTATTTTCATTTTTATCGTGCAAAGATTGAAGATAAAAAAACAGGGATCGATCAAAAGAAATCTCTAAACAATACAGATTATGTTCAGAGTGCATAAAATACGGATCCCTGGAAATTCCAGAGGTAGGATGAGATGCCTGTAGGAGGTGTAAGCATACCATGTTAACCAGTTACATCCGAGCGCTATGTATTGAACTCTCTGAAATCAGGTTCAGTATAAAACAATTGGTATGAAGCAAGCCAGCAAAAATATGATCAAATGATCATAAGTTATATTTCCTAAAGATATCATCATAGCGACTTTAACCTAAGTTTTTGAAACCTCGCATCAATTTATCAGTTAGTAACATGGTTTGCTTTAAAATCCATACTCAGAGAAAGCTCTTGAGTAGCGAATAAGTTGGGAGACTTAAAGAAAGACAGACAGACGGACGTACAGGGCAAACACTATATAGTAAATACGCCCAAATCTTTGATTACGGGGGCATATAAAGGAAATCAAAATCTAATAATTTAGATGCATACATGTACACATACATGTAAACTCTTTTCTATTACGATTTTTATTTCAATTTTGTAGCCTGTAGGAGGTCTCTGAATAAATTCAAATTTAAGTAAAATTATATAGAAATACCATTCCAATATCTTAATATTTTAATTTTAAAAGATTCCAAATGTCGTCACTTTCTTGTAACTATAGAAACTGTGCATTGACTCCAGTCCTTCCGTGTTAAAAAAAATCAGTTTTGCTGACTTTTTGGTTCATTTCTTTAAACTCATGCAGGCAAATGAAGATTCAACAGTTACCTCATTTTCATTTAAAAAGTGAATCAAAAAATTAAAAAAGCCCCTTAGATTTTTAAATAGTTTATTTTCAGAGAAAATTGTTAATTCTCAAAGGTAACATTACGTTACTTGCAATGTCAATACACAATGAGTGAAAAATAATGTATTTAAATAATGACCCCTGAAAATTTTGTCAAGATACCTAGTAAATTCTTTCGTTTGGTTTTATTCTGTTACAAATATTACGCAGGTAAAGTAATTGTATTCTCTTCTGTGTTATAGAACTACTGGAAATATTTTATTTAACATTATTTAGTTGAAGAATGAATAATACTACAGCTAAACATGCATTATTTTTTTTTATTTTAATGCCACAGTTCATGATTTGAAAATGCATTTATAAAAGACATAAATGAATTGCCTTGAATAAGATCTCTCCCATCAAGTTTAGAACTACAATCTTTTGTTAGCTTGCTAGCCGTAGATTCAGAATCTTTATATTTATTAAATAAGCTTTGAAATGATATTTTATGATCATTTAAATAATATGTAAAATAAATTTCGGTAGAGACTTTTTAAAACATTTTCCGCAAAGATCATTAATTTCTTTTTTCCACAGACACATGTATAAAACTATAGTTTCGTAAACAGTACATAGGAAGACTACCAATTTTATCAGAACTACATGTACCTGGTTAAGTTAAACTAACTTCCTTTTAAGTTTAAATTCTTTGAATTAATATATTATCTTTGTGATGACCTTAAGTCTGCATTCTGTATTTTTGAGGGAAAAATACCTTTGAACGTGTCCAGAATTTATATCTATTTAAAGTATTTTCCACCTCTTTTGATTTAATAAAAACATCTTCCTCTTATGTGTTTGTATTATGATTCCAAGAATTCTATTCATGTATGAAAATAGACCAAATCTCAGGAGATAGCAATCATTGCAAGAATTAAGGTCATTTTTAACATTTCTTTATTTCTTACTTAATTGTAAATAAATTACTTCCAAGAATCTTTGGAGAGCATAGTGAATATAATTAAAACGCATCGCAGGTAAGGTAATGTTATCCCTGTAAATAAACTACTTCAATCTTTTGAAATCCAAGGAGCATTTTATGATCATTTGATACACTGACTGAGTTAAAATGCAGATGACTCAAGATCTACATTTGCCAACACGAGTTTAGAGAAATTCTCCAGGAAGAACGACGAACATGTTTTTGCGTTTCGAATTTCTGGAGACATAATTTTGGCGATTATGCTAAAAACAATAATATACGGCTATTTAAGTTTAAGGCATTTCCACCCTCCTGTACATGTGATATTTATTGTCATAGGTTTTTAGCAAAAAATGTATATTTTAACATCTTTAACATCTTACAAGAGATTCCTTTTGACTTTGTGATACTTATTAACAGTAAAAATCTTAAACATGAGAAGAACTCTTTCTAATGCTTTCAATCCATTAAAGTCATCATTTACAAGTTCTACGGTTGATACAATGACTTTGTCATCAAAAACAATATCATTAAGTCAAAAACTGACTTTTTCATCTTATCATGAAGGCCATTATTCATTACCTATATTTTGTGTGTTTCCTCCTATTGTTTTCTTATGGATGCCAGTATAAACTGTGATCAAACGAAGCATTCCCTTAAGTACACACATCATTATAGCAAGGTATTTTATATCCTATTGGATAAAAATTTCCAAAATGTTACTTCATAGGACTTTAAATCCTATGAATAGCTAATATGGGGTTTTATCTTATTTCTTCAATGATGGGATAAAAAATCACAAAAGCCAGCTGATGATGGGATAAAAAAAATCCCATGGGAGGAAATATCCCTTACTGTTATTTTTCTCCCATGGGATTTTGGTGGGATTTCAGGTGGGATGAAAAATCCCCCATTCTCCCATGGGATTTTTAGTTTTGGGAGAAGTTTATAAGAGAACTACAACATTGTGGAAGTTAAGATTAACATAATGAAGTGAGAATAAAAAATTCCACCAAACTTCAGGAAAATTTTTAAATTATGTCTTTTCGAAAAGGTACCTAAAAGTCCGGACTTAAATGTCGCAGTGTTACACTGAATTGTCTACACATTTCCTCCTTATTTTCCAGTCAAGACAAGGAGCAAACGGCGGGTGTGACAGATTGGCAGGAGGTGCTCACTCCTCCATAGAACCTGTCCAACCTCTGATGTTTAAAGGTCCGTGTTTGCTCTTTTCCTTATATTCGAAATCTTTGGACTTGATGAAATACGTGGAGATAACGTACAGTATTCGAGCTCAAAAGTCCACTTAACATTACAAAATAGAAGCGGAGTCAACATGGACTTCCAAAACGTCAGAGTTGGAATCAGATGCCATGGAGGAGTAAGCACCCCCTGTTGACCAGTCAAACCCGCCGTGTGCTCCTTGGCATGATCGAGAAATAACGGAAAATATATGTGAACAGCTCAGTGTGTAAATAATTAATAGCCTAACAAACAGTATGAAAAAGTCAGTCAGCATTTTACGTAATGATATATTGTATTTGCTGACAAGGTCATTGTATCGACCATCGAGCTTACGAAATGATGACTTTAAACGAAACTGTTGATATTCTTGCCCCTTTCTCATATATATGTATATGAATTTCAATACATTTTCCAATATATTTCAGTATGAATGCATGTAAACTTTTCTCAACTTCAATTTAAATCAATTTCTGCTGGAAAACTCTTCAGTCTTAGCACTTTATAATTCTTATCACTGAGTAAATGTGCAGGGTTGTTATTAAAATCTAGTTTTATAGTTTGATTTTGATGGCTTAACACCATCTTTCCGGTACCAGGGAGAAGGTATCATGAAAGTCACAACAGCTGTTTTCTATTACCCATAGATGATACATATAAATTATGTGTGCTTAAACGGTGGGAATTGAAAAAGAAGCTGAAAATGTTCAAATATAAACGCAGAACGACGGATAAAGATAGAAAGGAATCGGTCACCTGAATGACTCTCCTGTCCTGAAAGAGAAATTCTCTCCCACTCGATCTTAAATTCTATCCATAGATTCACTTATCCCCTTATCCTGTCCTCCGACGGGAACATTTACTCCTTGAATGGACTTACAGGACCGCCGTGCTTTTTCTAATATTTTTGACTCTTTCATCGTGTTCAATAGTATGTTTTCCAAAAAGAATAAGTGTTTATTCAATTCTTTTTAAAATGAATGAAGCAGTCCTAATGGATTGTTGCATAACAGATATGTACTAATATATTGCTGTTCCAAATGTGTTAATTAATCTAAGATATAGATTTTGAAAAAAGATAACCAATCAAAACATTCTCTGCGTTTATAAATACAAAAGACAACTTCACAAAGCGTGAGCTTTCTAATCTCATCAAAGCCTACCAACAAAATGTCTTTTTCTTTGAACAGAAGCATGTATGATGAAACTCTGGGTAAACTACAAAGCACTTCAGCCTTTTTGCCTAATAACACAGATTTTGTTAACTGGACATCAAATGTTGAATTCTATGTCGCTGACTATCAGCTTCCGAAGGCTTTATTAGCAAGTGTTTTGGCGTCGTACGTGATACTTTTTATCCTCTCGTGTCTAGGGAATGGAGTCGTTTGTTTGGCCATTGGTTTCCGCTACCTGAAACCCACAGTAACGAATTTTTTCATGTGTAGTCTTGCTGCAAGTGATGTTCTAGTTACAGTATTAAGTGTTCCGTTCACAGTTTTGAGTAATTTAGTTTTCATGTACTGGCCCTTTGGACCTTTTCTGTGTCCAGTCATTTCCCTACTGCAGCTGATGGTCAATATGCTTCGAGCTCTGACATTGGTTGCCATGACGTGCGATAGATATTTTGTGATAACCAAACCTTTCAGTCAACGCCTTACATTAAAACAGGCGAAACTTGTGATCGCTGGTATTTGGTCTTTTTCTTTAGTATTTTCTCTTCCTGTGGCAATATTTTCTAAAATCATTTATTTACCCTACGAACCTGGATCAAAAGGACTCTGTTTTGAGGTTTGGACCAATGAATCTTTACGCCGTGTCTATGGAATCACCATCATGTTAATACAGTACTTTATTCCTCTTCTCTTGATGTTCTTGACGTTTTCGCACATCGCTGTGATAGTATGGACAAAGAGGGCTCCCGGGGAGGCGAACAAGAAAAGAGACGAGAGGCGAGGACGATCCAAAAAGAGAGTAAGACAAAAATACAAATCATGTTACTTAAAAGCAAAGTTACTTTTTTAAGCGTTGCGTGTTATAAGAAAGAAAAACTCGAACTTCTTGGAAAATAACTAAGACAGATGATTAAGAAATAGAAATTTCCTCGATCATTTCCATTACTTATTAAAAACAGAATATATCATTTCAGACACATACATTTTTCTTTATTTATAGATGCTGCAGATGTTGATTATAATTGTGTTGAACTACTTCTTATCCTGGCTGCCTTACCACGTGATCAGCATTGTAGGCGATGTCCACCCCTCTATTTACGATTCCAAGTCCATGCACATCCTCTGGGCCCTGTCTCATCTCCTCTCTATCAGCAACAGCGCCACAAACGCCGGCATCTACTACTGGAGAAACAGAAACTACAGATTAGCCTTTAAGAATCTCTGGAAAACTTGTATTCAGTGCAGACGTACGTTTGGAAAAGACACCAATAGATATAACAACGTGTCCTTGATGCTTTCCCAACCAATTTCTAGGCGTTCGTCGAGTATTTTAAAATTTTCACGGCATTCGCCGGCAAATATGACACTTTAGATTTTTTTTTTTCATTTTCTTTTATATCTAACACCAACAACTAAGAAAGGTCGATGATACATAATTAATATGTAATTAGTAACTATACTCGGAAACCCGATATTTAACTCTATGTGACCACATGCTTGTAGTCCCTACACTATCATTGCATGATTTTGAAGCCAATGTATATTATGTTTATAAACTGGCAATTGTTTCAAATGTCGGGCATAAAAAATATTTAAAAATCAAGTTTTTATTTGGTAATATTTAGAACAATCCCTTGTTTCACCCAATTTCTATGGAGAGAGCTGAAAAAAAGGACGAAAGAAAAACAATCTAAAACTTAGAATGTTTTGATCAGCCAATGAAAATCGGGAATACCTTTCAGTAAGGCACGTCATATATATATAAGTAAAATTTAGAGTTAAGAAGAGGCACATGAAGTCACTTGGCTCTTTTCGCCATTCTTAATCATATATTTGAAATACGCTGTTTATTGTACATTTTTGAACCATGCGTGTAATCTACTTGCAAAATATCGTGAACTACAGATTTTATTATGTTTCTGATACTTCTTCGTAATATAAATTAATGTGTTTCATGTTTGTCAATTATTCCATGTATTGAGATTTTTAAGTTTCATCGTAATTTATTTTAAAAGTAATAAATGGCCATTCAAATTCCAATCTTTTATTTTCATTTGTGTAAAACATACCGGTATCACCACCAAGCACAATTAATTCAGCTCTAAGTGATAGTGCCGTATGAGAAATATCATTTGTTGAAATGAAGGGCAAACATATAAGAGATGCGATCAGGAGTCAGGGAGGAGTGATAATAGATTGTATTTGCTGTCAAGGTCATTATATCGATCATGAAACTTGATAACTCTAAATATAATTATTGTAATCCTTGCTTCAACAACTTCTTTGTCGATAGCCTGTCTCGTTTTAATAATTGTTCGTATAAAGAGCATCGTCTTGCTATCAATTCAAGTGGAAAACGTAAAACCCTTAATGCAGGTAATAACGGTAGGTTGCAACACAAGTAGAAGTGAAAGTAAAAATTATTAAACCAGAGTAATCTTATTTGTAGTAAGATTTTTTCTGGTAAAGTTTCCAAATATAAAACAAATGAGTTCGATTCTTTGGTATACAACAGCATTTTGTTTCAAGTTCGCTGGGATATAACAGTATCGAGCCGACAAACTATTGTTAATTTTCAAAAAAAAAAAAAGTACGCCGTCATTATATATTTATGTCGAATACAAGACCACAGCATTTGATTTTTTTTCTTCTCGTGTATACGTTTTTAAAAGAATCCGATTTATACAAAATTAGGTTTGCACAGCAATCATCACCTTTAGTGTACAAACTGTCAGGTGGATTTTCCAAAGTCAAAAATGCTTTTGCAAGGAGGTTGGAGTGGGGGACTGGGGATAAGTTCCAACTTTTTGACACGAAAGTGTTTTAAATAAATTCATTAGTAAATGAATTAGTAAGTGTTTTAATTAAATTCATTAGCAAGGGGATGTTGACTAAATTACGGAAAACAAACTAAATGAAGTAAATGAATTAGTAAGTGTTTTAAATAAATTCATTAACAAGGGGATGTTGACTAAATTACGCAAAACAAACTTCATCCCATACTAAGTGTATAAAAAGTTTGTTTACGAAGAAAGCTGGAGGGCTCACCTTGACCCCCTTTATACTACCTGCATGGTATTTATATATTTTGACTACTGTTGGCATTATATTATTTGATAGTGTTACACACTCGGTTTACACATTGACGTCACGTTCCATCATTCTTGTAAGAAATGACACTCACTTGCTTCTAGCTGGAGCTAATTTTAAAATTTGAATTTATCTCATGCATTTTCCATCCAACTGAAAATTAAAAATATCTTGAAGATTTGTTTTTCATTTAATTAGCAGTTGAAAATGTGAATTAAAAGTATAGGACAACAGACAATAGAAAAAATCCAATCAGAAAGGCTTACGTGAGTCTTCGGCTCAGTTGAACTTAAAAGCATTCCCAGCTAATGTTACTATGTAGCATCCGTCTTCAAATAGCCGATACATGTACTTTGATAAGGTTAGACCATTTCAACTAGTTGGATAAAGCCAATATCAAATCACACAATATATCTATAGATATCCTCTATATACTTCAGTAAAACTGTATGCTTTAAAACTGATACAGAAGAATTGTGCGCTCTATCTTATGACTTTATGTTTTCAAAGGCGAGGAATAAATATACATATATATGTATAGTCCAATATTACGTACTCCGTCACTTCATCACTTTCGGCAAACTCCGCGCTGTTTGTAAACGAATGCGTTTTTGTTTTTTGTTTTTTTTTTTCGTAGCAACAAGAAATAAAATCATATTATAATTTAAAGAGAAACGCGGGGGTGTTTTCCGGTTATAAAAATGGTGACGTCAACGGAGTTTGGATACT